AAAAAAACATTTTCTGTAATTGGAAATCTCCAGATTTTTCTTTCTTCTTGAGGTGAACCTATTCTACTTCCTGTTCAAGTGTTTGTATCATTTACGCTTTTCACATGTTCCTTTCTGTGTCGATGACAAATTGTTGATGATCCAGATGTTTAGAAGAATTTTAACTTGTCAGTTTTAGACTCTGACACTAAAGGTCCAGTATTTTTAGTTCTCAGCAGCTCAGAGAAATAATGCAACTGAAATCAGAACCTCTTAGAAGTCTCTGAATGGATCTTCATCAGGAGATGAGGAGTATGATTTCTCTTCAAACGTCAGTTTGTTAAAATGGTGAAAAATTGATTTGTTAGCGTAATAACAAATCAATTTAGTAATAAAAAAGCCATACGTGGTAAGGCTCAGGGTGAGTGTGATGTCTTATTTTTTAGTATCATTATTAAATCTACAGAGGTCAGAATCACTAGTTCATCTGTTTACTGCTTAATAGGAGATTTTACACACATACATCAGTGGTGAAGGCAAGGCAGACCTGAACTTCACAGTCTGACCCAGCTAATGACCAGCAGAAGACGATCCATGATTGTATAGAAATCAATGAAGGCGTAGGGAACTGAGCACTGTCCTGGTGATACAGTGATGAGTTGTTGACCACAGGACATGCAAGAAAGACAAAGTGCAAACCACTTCAGCCCTGCGGTGTATTTATTTGTTTTGTGTATTTATTTATGTCTTCATATGGTTGCATCTGTGACCTCAGCGAACATTTTCATCGTAACTTTATGAGTAGCTTGTGATCATGAGCAAATGTAAAAATGTAAAAATAATAATAATAATGATAAATAATAATAAAAAATAAAATAATAAAAATAATAATAATCAGATTTTTTTTTAAAAAAGGAAATCTGAAGTATGGATAAAGATCTAAATATTTAAAAAATATTAATGTTTCCATACTTTATATGAAACTGTCACAAAGTGTTTGTTATGACCTCAGTATATGAGTTAAAGTGAGATCAAACATGATGCTCATGGTCACACTGGGTCCAAATAAAACAACACAGTCACTTAATTATTTGATCAGTGTTGGACACAGCAGAGTGTTCTATGCTCTAATTCAAGGATTCAAGGATTCAAGCTTTATGGTCATTCGCATCACATCTTAACATGAGGTGGAACGAAATTATGTACATTATGTCCCGGAGCAAAAAGAAACAGAATAATGAGGATTTTTTTTAATGTATTTTTTTTTATGAATAAATAGTTGTGTGTGTGGTTTTTTTTAAACAAAACAGATATACAAGTAATAAAATAATACAATAAGTGGAGTGCAACAACCTGAGTACCAGTATGGAGTATGGGTATAAATATAGGTGTAAAGAAACACTTTATCAATGCTGGTCATCATGCCCTTTGCTGCTAAAGTGACAGTGTCTGTAAGTGTCCATAGTGAATTTAAGGTGCTACAATAACAGTTGTTGTCCATTTATGCATTGAGAACTCTCACAGCTTCTGGAATGAAGCTGCTTCTCAGTCTGGTGGTTTTGCATTTAATGCTCCTCAGCCTCCTGCCTGAGGGGAGCGGGACAAAGAGTGTGTGTGCTGGGTGAGTGGGGTCCTTTATGATACAGGTGGCCCTCTTCCTGCATCTGGAGGTGTATATGTATGTGACTGTTGGGAGGCTGCCTCCGTCCACTCTCTGAGCAGCCTTCACCACCCTCTTTAGAGCTTTCCTCTCTGCCACGGTGCAGTTTCCGTGCCACACGTTGATGCCAGAGCACAGAACACTCTCCACCGCACATCTGTAAAAGGAGATGAGGACTGAGCTCTCATTTCCTGCACGCTTCAACCTCCTCAGGAAGTAGAGGCTCTGGTGAGCTTTCCTGATCAGGCTGGAAGTGTTATTTTTCCAGGTGAGGTTGCTATCCAGGTACGTACCCAGGTACTTGTAGCTGGGTACTACTTTGACTGCAGATCATCCGAAGTGCAGGGGTGTGTTTGCGAGTGTGTGTCTTCCCCTCCTGAAGTCCACAATCATCTCCTTCGTCTTCTTCTCATTTAAGCAGAGATTGTTTTGCTTGCACCAGTCCTCCAAGAGTTCCACCTCCTTCCTGTAGCCGGTCTCATCATTGTTTGTGATGCATCCCACCACAGCTGTGTCGTCTGCAAACTTTACAATATGACAGCCTGGATGGTTGGGCGAGCAGTCATATGTAAGCAGCGTAAACAGGAGGGGACTTGGCATACAGCCCTGAGGGGAGCCAGTGCTGAGGACTCTGGAAGATGAGGAGACATTGGTCGACTTCGGAGAACAGAAGGAACCGTAATGAAAAATTGAAATATGGACAGTTGGGCTGTGATCACTCTGATCTCATGCACTCTGAATCAGAAGCAGAAATTACTTCTAAAAAATAGAAGTAACTGTTTCGTATTTCCACATCAAATACGCATCAAAGGCCATCAAATGCTGAACATTCATAATCCAATGCTGTCACTCTCTGGATGTAGTCCTCCTGTTTGCTGAGGCTGAGCATGATGAAGTAGTTCATCCTCAAGTGTCAGAGTGACATCAGGGATCGTTGTGGGGTGTTGGTGACAGTTGTTTGCTTCCAGATCATTTCTGTCACTTTGTTCAGCAGCGGGAGATTCAGAGTTCAGAAAGCTCTCAGACATTTCAACCTTTGTTTCAGCAGGAGGACGATGTGAATCCTGACTATGCTGTTTCTTTTTTCTGTAGATCAAAAAAACAACAACAGCAGCAACAAGAACCACTGCAGAAATTGAGATAGCAATTTTCAGTCCTACAGATCCATCCTCCTTCCCTCCATCCTCTGTGTGTCCTCCTGTCTGACCTGCAGGTGAGAAACAGGTGTGAGGTGTCAGCTGTCAGGTAGGTGATGAGTGAAGAACAGAACAGAATCCATTTCCTCTTCAAACTGCTGTCAGACATTATCTACTGCACTCTGATCACATCACTCAGACCAGCTGCTTTCTACAAAGTCTCATCAACAACATCTTTAGAAACAAACATCAACAACCAGGAAGCAGCTTCACCTCTGATCACACACACACTCAACTCTGCTCACTCACCTGGAGGATCAACACTCAGTGTAAAGCTGCAGATAAGATCCAACGATTGTGTTTCCTCCATGAAGACACGACACTCGTATGTTCCATTATCAGCACTCGTCACATTCTTCAGGATTATAGACACATTTCCATCCTTCATCTCCCTGTCTTGCAGATCCACCCGGTTCACAAAAGATTGATGCTGGTCATCTGGGTTGGGGTTCATGTTTCTAAGCACTAAGACATATTTATCTCCCAGGTCAGCTCTGCTCCACTCTACAATGTCATTGTTGTTGTTTGGAGCTTGACATGTCAGAGGGACGTCCTGTCCAGACTCAGCTGTGATGTTTTTCTGGACTAAAGAGGAAACAACACAGAGCAGAGAGGTTAAAGGTCAAAGGTCAGCTTCCAAAGTTTAATAACTGTATGATGTTTGCTGACCAAAATAACCCTGATTATGATTTCAGCTGCTCAATGCTCGACTTTTGTTTAAATAAGTTTAGGCTAAACTGTTAGTTTTTACTATTTTTATTGCCTAAACCAGCTGTTATCATTGGATTGTTGTTGGTATTGAAATATTTCTAACTAATAAAACCCCTAGTTGTTCTTTACTATATCAAAGATACGTAAAAAAAAGAAAAAAAAAAGAAAAAGAGAAAAAAATGAAACAAATTGCAAGAAGCTTTACAGGAAGATTTTATGTCCCATAATATAAAAGTGTTATTTGTGAGGTAGAGAACATAAATGACATTAGCATGTTATTTTAATTAACACTGTTGAGGTCGACTGTCACCACTCTCCCTTACATACCCCCCTTCCCTGCAATTTTAAGATTCCCTATCATTTTTTTTCATTTTTCTTCATTCATTCTTCTTTTTTTTTTCTGCTTTGTAGTCAATGTCTGTAAGAGATAAATCAGGTTTGAACAGGCTCTGCTGTGGAGCTGTTTTTCTTCCATTTCGCTATGTTGCTCAAATGTCGGTGTGTGAAAGAGTGTCGAGCTCGCCTTACGGACGTAAAGCACGCCCATGAGGAGTGAGCTGTGTGTGGAGTGGAGCTTTTCTGGCAGTGAGCAAATCAGGCGCGGTGCCGCCTCCGAAACTGTGCCACGTGATCATGATATCGGTTTCAGAAATAGAAAAAAGTGACAAACATTTCTCCGGGTGTGTTTTTTGAAGGCTGAATACTGAACAGATAGTCGTCTTCCACGGCGTTTTTCTCGTCTCCGGTGTGGACAGAAGGAAGTTTTGCTACGGTAAGAGACTCACACATATTCTCTTGACTGTTTGTGAGCCTCTTATACGCACTTGTTTTATTTTATACATTTTTTAAAGATATGATTTTTAAACTGTAGTTTCCTTTCAAACTGTTTCCTTCTTTGTTTACCATTTTATTTAGGAATGATTTTCAACATTATTTTAGACATACTGGGCCGTTTCTGGGCTCACATCGCGAATATAAACAGGATTTTGGTTTTTGTTGGGGGGCTTTCTTCTTTTTTCTGTTCAGAGAACTTTGATTTTCTATATTTCTGGACACGTTCTAACTTTTTGTGTTTGTGGACACAGCGTTGTGAGGCTTCTTTTGCGTTGCATTTCATAATCTCAAACAGTTCAGTAACAGAAAGAATGTGAGAACAGGGCGTGTGTTGCTGGGAAGGGCAACAAGAAGCATTCAAACACTGATAAACCGTGGCACGCAACCACGCACTCATGACTCACGTAAGGCGTGCCCGAATGTCAACTCAGCTTCAGCTGTTTTATAATCTAAGTGAAATAAAGTCCAAGAACATTTGACAGGCACGCCTAGTTTCATCGAGACTAGTTTGTAGATGACTCAGTTTGTAAGAAGTGCCTGATAGTTCAGGCTAAATGGAATTAAGTCCAAGAAAAGGAAACATGATATTCTTTAATCAGTTTTGTTTTTTGTCAGTTTTAGTGTGATGTAAATTATATTGGGCTTTTGTGGGCTCACTTTAGAGACACGAATTCAACATTTTTTTTTCTTTCTGCTTCTGTTTTTTTTTGTTTTTTCTAGACATTAATTTCGTTTTCTTTTTTGTGTGTCTGTGGACACAGATTCCCCCTTTTTGTGGCTAAATTTATAACTTGAATAAAGCCAAAGAAAAGGATTGTTTTTAAGGTGGAATAACTGTGTAATGTCTTTTAATGTTCCTTTTCTGAGATAATAATTATTAGCACAGTTATCCTGTGCGATTTGTATTTTTTAAAACGTCAAAGCTGTTTTTGACTATTAAAAATAAATGTAAATACACTCTTGTCATTAATACAATGTTGACCTCACCTTTAGCCGAAACCCCGACAGAGAGCCACATGACAGACCAGAAGAAAATCACTTTGGTCATTTTTGTTGAGCGCAAACAAAACCGATGAGCAGCAAAGTTTGTTACCATACTAACTTAGTGCTCCGTTTTACGGTTTATTTATTTGGGGAGTGACGTAGTTTGTCTCCACCCACAAACCCAAACTTGCACAACGTCCAAGCACAAAATGATCTCTTTCTGAGGTTGCTTGAAATCAAAGACACAGGATTGGATCTTTGAAGACTCAGATCATGAAAAACGTTTAAACCTGTTGAATGATCGTGAGGGACTTTTTTCATTACGAAGTTGACGACGCAAATTAAAAATGAGTAGTTGTTAAACAAAAGTAAAACAGAATTATGTTTCTTTATGAAACTTTATTCTGTCAATTTAATGGTTTTGATTTATTCTTTTCTTTCCTTGTTTTTGTTTGGTTAGATAAATGTTCATTTTTAAAAAAAAAAAAAAAGGTTTAGGTGTAACAAGCATGAGCTACACCTTATCAGTCGACATCTCATATCAGATTTTATTTTTGTTTTCCTCTTTAACAGCTGTCATTAAAAAAAAAAATCTGCTGGAAAACAAAGTGAATTATGATAAATAACATGAGTAACTATTCAGACAGAATGAAACCTGCACCTCAGCTCCTGAATAATTCTGGCTTTGAATTTGAATTATGGAAGCAAAGTTTCTGCTCTCATGTTGGCTCTGTTTTGTGACTTGCAGAAACAGATCAGAAGTTTCTGGCACCACTTCAGCTTCTTCCACGGAGACGAGCATAAGGTCTAATGACAGTGATGATGATCCTGATGAAGGCCACAAGCCGAAATGTGTCAGTGGAGCAGCAAAGTTTTCTAAATCATTCAAATGTTTCTCGAGCTCTAACTTTCTATTTCCTTATTGCTTCAGGACTGTGTGTTGATTTCACTGACAGCTTATTTATTAATAAGTAATTATTAATATTATTGTTGAAAACAACTCCAAGAGGTAAGTTTAGTTTTATAGAAGAGAACAGTCTCTCTGACAGGTCAATATCTACAAATATACAAACAAATTAAATCTGCATCTGAAGATGACAGTCAGCAATGCGGCTCAATTTTTAAAAAAAATTAATATGAAAATAAAAGAATGAATCTGAACTTTTAATGTGACTCTTTCCTTATGTGTTTAAAATGTCTGAATGATTAGTGCTTACTGCTTTTCTTGAAATCTCAACACAGAAAAAGAATAAAAACTAAATGTGAAATTTGACACTTTATTGCTCTACGTCTCTTTTTTGTTTGTGTTTCTTTAGTACAGGGTTCATGGTTGCTTTATTTTCTGTAATGTGAGAACAGGGTGTGTATTACTGGGAAAGGATTCAACCACTGAAAAACTTACTTATTTGGAAAATAGTTCCTGAATGTGCCAGTCTCCATGAAGCACCTGAATGGGAACTCACATTCACCTGTTTGAAAGTGGAAAACGGTCCAAGAAAAGGGCACTTTTTAAAATATAATAAGAAGTGTATAATGTTTCAAGGAGTTAATGTTAAGTAATGTTGTGATTTTGATGTACTCTGTGCATTGTTTTCTAATAGTGTCATTAATAAACGATCAATATAATTTAAGATGTTTTTTTAAAAGAAGTGAAACTGCTGCCAGCCTTTGAATTTACCCACCCATTCAGTGTGCTCTCTGTGTGTCTTTTTTGACTGTCTCTGGCACCAATGTTTCCTCCCAAAGTCCAAAGACAGACATGTTTGGTTAACCAGTGATTCTTAATTGACTGTAGGTGCTAATGGTCTGTTGGTCCTGCATCAGACTGGAGACCTGTCCAGGGTCTGGGATGTTGACAGGTGCTGGATTTTGAGTTTGAAATGTGTAACACCTGAAGCTCCTGTCAGTCAAATCTCTGGGTTTATAGTGAAAGGGCAGAATAAATGTTAGAAACGAAAGTATTCAGAGCTGAAGATCCTGTTTTATTCAGAAATCTGTAGTCAAGACAAACTCAGTAATCATCAAGTTCAAAAGTCTCTTTTGTCGTGTTTTTAATTCATGAAAAATAAAATCATGAGATGAAAGGGGTTTCATGAAGAATCAAGTGAAGAGAGAGAAGGTGATGGTAGATTCTGTTTAATTGGGTCTACTCGTATTAACTGGAAGATAGACTAAATAAGATCACCTTGAGCATCTCAGCTGTTTTTCAATTGTAAATCCAAAGTATTTCATTCACAGATCGCATGAAAATCTTTTTGATTCAACGTGAGATTTTTTATTTACTGTGACACAAATTTGTGGTCTGATGTTAAAGTTATTTCGGCGTGTTCGAGGCAAAAGATTTTCACCTTAACCTACATCTTAATTTCAAAATTACTCAAAGATATTGTGTACTGAGTACCCAATGTGTACTTTTACTTCAGGTACTTTGAGTACCTGAGAAAGTCAGAAAGAAGTAAGTTTTCATGCTACTGCTTAAGTAACTGACTCAAATACTACTAGGTTGTAAGCATTCAACCTATTGAGACCGCAATCCTGCCCCAATAAAAAAAAATTCCCCTTAACTGACATTAATGCGTCTGAAAGTACTGCTGTGGCAGTATTACGAAAAAAAAAAGGTCTTGATCTGTTGACTTTACTGTTCCACTTCTACTTTTAACTTTTGTAATTTATTCTGAAAATTTAATCATCAAAAAACAATTCAAAATAGATACAGAAGAGGTTTACAGTTGACAGTCCATGCTGCATGTTTTATTGCCTTGGCTTATATAGAACTAACATATTTGACTTCTAGTAAAACAAAAAAAAATTCTTATTGTCCTGCATGTTTTAAAACTTAAGATATCCTTTAAGGAAAAGATAGAAAAATCAAGAAAAATACACGCTTCCTTTTGTTTTTGCCTCAGAGTTGTGGTAACCTAAGTAGGCCACTTTTATGTATGTGTGTGATTTGACTTTATAACAAATTGAGTAGAATATGCTACTTAGTGGGATGTATAATTATACATGTATGCATGTATATATGTATAATTACTTCCCTGTGGGGCTCAGCTGAACTCAGTTCTGGGAGTTGAAATCAACAGAAAAATGTTTAATTTGTCTTGATGCTGTATAACTGTGTTTATGTACATTAGCAGAATTTAAAAATACAATATTTGCCTGTTAAACATTATTTTAAGCAACTCTGAAGATAGGAAATAGTCCAATAAGGAGAGACTGTAAATTAGTAAAGTGCAGAATTTGAGTAAGAAGGTATCTAATTTGGTGCAGAAGAAGAAGCACCCCCTCCAAAGAAAACAAAAACAAACAAAAAAAAAATGTCAGGAGTTGAAGTTGTTTCTCATCACTGTTAATTACTAATGTGAGACCTATGTTGGACTGTGTTTGTGAGAAATCAGCCAACAGAGAGGTTGGAGAGATTCACTGTTCTGCAGACGCCTAATTCATTGCATAGTCTGTAGTTGTTATGACTATCACATCATACTATCACGTGGACACCTCTGTATTTTTGTGAGTGTCCACTCAAGTGGACCTTGAGAGATGAGGCCCTGTGGAATGTAGTGAAACATGAAACCACAGCTGGGGGTCTATAGCACAGACTATAGTAAAAGCAAACGTAAATCATGAGCATATAATGTTTCAGTAAGATGTTAGCTTCATGAATGGTTTTTCTCACTAATGATCATGCGCTCAACATCCACTCTGTACGTGCTTACGTCACACATATACACACACACAGACACATGAGTTGCTTTGGTTACCATATAAGGGAATCCCCAGGGTTTAAGAGCATGTTTTGAAGCCCTCACCCCGAAAGGTAAGGTATAGAGATTGAAAACGTGACGTCATGGGTAAAACCGCAAAGGATTTTGGGTACGCGTGGCAAGCGGTAATAGCGCACGCAGTCTTTCACATGAAAACAGTCACACAGCGATACGAAAAAACACAAATAATGGCAAGAAGCTGTTGTATTATTAACTGCAATAGCCGGTCTCATGACAGCCACAGGAAGCCGACGGTAAAGAGATCGGTTGTTATCGGATTACGTCGTTGAAGAGAAATTGTTTAAGCCATGTTTCCGAAATAACAAAGAGCCGATGAATGGCCTGGATTGCAGCCATTCAAAGACCAAATATAACGTCCCAGAACACTCCAGCTCACATGTTAGTCTGCTCCAAGCATTTCCACAAAGGTCAGTCTTCTGTTGCAGTTATTACGTAATTTATCATAACATAATTGTTGATGTAGGTTACAAATAAGTCTTATATTGATTTGAATTGAATTTGTTGCGCTATGCTGCTTTGTTCACTGTGGCTTTGCGGGCTAATTTTTGTTGTGCTTTGTAGGAAAACCAGCCTACAAAATGCAGGAATGCGATCCAGACTGTGCACCTCTATCAACCTGGGTCATACCGAGTTTAAAGCTGCTACCACAGCGAGATTTGATCGGTTAAGAAAGAGAGAGCGAGAAAACAGCCACGAAAAGTCCCTCATATATGTGCCCAAGTGTTGTATTGAAGCAATCAAGTGATGAATAACTGTTTTCCAATACGTTGTTTTGATATCTTTTTTTTTTGCATTGTTGATTTGTTTTTCACCGAAGCAGCTAATAAAGCATGATGGAATACAATTTTGTCTCTTTCTTGTAAGATTCTATAATAGAAGGAAATGATAACACCAGTTATAAATAAAGACAAAAAATTGCAAATAAAATGCAAGTAGGGATTAAAACCACAAAATTAATGATTACCGGTGCTGGAAATCGTAGCGCTTGATGGAGTGTTTAGATTTTGTTGCCACTCGTACCCACAATGCAATGCACGAATTTCACGTGGTCTGTCAATCTCTATGTATGTGTGGGACTGAGGCACGGCCCCTCAGATCTGCTTTTTACATTGCATGATCTCCCTCTGCACAGAGGTTTGAGTAAAGGAGTATCACAAGTGTTTTGGAGTCAATAGTGTTTATTTTTTCCAGCTGAGTAACAAAAGGATCAGAGTGATCAATGATAATGATCTCAAAATCCTTCAGAGCAGTGAAATTTGATGCCGGTAAAATATTGTTTTTACAGCTCAGGGTAGAAATTTTATCCCACATCATTCTGTTTTATTTAGCAAACATTACATGTCATCTGGTCTTCGCCTGATTTTGTTTGAGTTAATTTATTCTCTCTTTATTGGGCAAACAATAGAGTCTGTTTGCAAGAATTGTGAAATGTTCCCAGTGGCTCTCACGTGTCAGTCTGCTGTTTTCCTATAGCTCAGAGTCACAAACTGCAACTACATAAGTAACAAATTCAACACAGATAATGATTAAATATTTAGTTATTCTCAGGAATGTTTCTGCAAAACAAAAATGACTTGATGAGAGCAGAGGCATCATGAAAGGAGAGGCAATGAGAAACCATCTCACCATCAGAACAGACAGTCAGCATGACTAATGAGTGACACATCATCATGTGAATGAATGCTGCAGTCATGATGTATCTTACAGCAGAGCTTGTGACTATGTTGATATGTTTTAAACAGTCAACAGTTTGTTAAACTCACAGGAGATCTCAGTTAAACATGGTTTAAAAAGGACAATGAACTGAGTAAGATAAAATGGCCCAAGTGGAGGGTGTGGTTTAGTAACACAGTCTGTCCACAGGTTGGGGGTTGTTATATTAGAGATTAACTAAACTTTTAACCAGCAAAGATTAAATAGCATCAAAAATTGAAAAGAAAACTGCTGTATGTAAGTACAACTGAATAGAAAACACAAGTGTTTATTCTGCTTTCGAAGTTAAATGCACGTAAGTCAAATAAACATTTTGACTACGACTAATCAGACACTACAAATTGGGAGTAGATGAGTCAGGTCTGGCAAATCTGTACCAAATATCTTAGTAAAACATGAAATATTTGAATTTCAAATTTGATGGAAAGTTTCTGCTCATATTTACTGTCTCTTCTTTGTGTTGTGTGGAGCTTCAGTGCCAAGATTACCTCAGAACAACAACAACAAAATTCTACTGGAGCTTTTTGCAGTTCATGGATAGTGTATTTATAAGTCACTGAGTATGAAAAAAACTCACAGAGAAAACGAAAGTTAAGCAGTAAGTTTTGTTTTACAAGAAATGAGAGCGGTGGAGGGTTGGGCTCCACCCACAGCCTGCAGCAACTGTTGGTCACATGGAAAGTTTCCAACATTTATTCTCCTATTTTAATCCATAAAAAACATGTTAATGACATATAAATCATTGTGCATTACTCAGATGGATTAAGCTTTGCTG